ATAGATAGATAGATAGATAGATAGATAGATAGATATAACACACAGCCTTGTTTTAAAACAACTGTGCTTCATCTAATATCATGGTTTGTACTGTGCAGTCCACCTACAACATAACATGTCAGATGGTGAAGTCAGGGCACCAAGTGATCTAATTAAACTAAATATTGAGAGAACAATGGCACTATAATCTGTAAGTGCCTGGGCACAGAACTTTCTGCCTTTTGAGCAGAAAATGCATTGTGACAAACACTGCCTTTCCAGGAATCATCCGTCCCTATGGCTATGGTGGAGAAATGACTGTGAGATTTTTCTGTGTGGATTTGATTTTTGTGTGTATGAAAATATCATCTTTCATTCTGTTGTATGGTAACCTGCTGTCTGAATACCATTGTAACTCAGCTAATTTCACCTTATAATATTTGTATGGCTTTATAGTGTGCAGGTCATATTATTGAGCTTCATCTTAAAATGCCTCTCAAATCTTTCTGGCAGCACATGAATGCCCTATTTTGTAGTAATGTGCTATATAAAACACATTAATGCAATAAAATGCGTATTTACACCACAGACATATGGTTTAAACGGAACAGTATAATAATGAGAGTAGATGATAATACTTATGGAAATAGCACATCCAAAGACCATTGCACAGCTCATTTTTGGCGCAATGTCTATAAATGAAACCTTAAGAGTGTGGGGGAGTGGAAATAAAGGTCCAGAGACATTAAGGCCCAATCACAATTCAATTTTATAGCCCTTCCCCTTCCCCTCCGCCTACCCCTTCCCCTTGTCCCTTGAAACAGAGTGTAGGGGTGAAAATATTCCCCTAAGAATTGGGACACCACTCCTACTATGGCTTCACACGTCATCATACGTCAATACACACACCTATGCTGGTGTGAATTAGAGCCTTTAATTATCGTTCTATATTAATGCACTGCTTTCTGACACACACACATATCAGAGATCGCGCAGCTCACACATCCAGGAGCAAAGATACTTGTCAACGCTGCACACGACTTTTATTAATAACAGTTTAAATACAGAATTGCTACATTATATTTTCCAGCAACAAGAGGATAAAATCGCTGTTTTTGAAGTAAACTCACTCTAAAAAGTGAAACGCACAGACGCGCATACATGCAACTTTCATCTCTCTCTCTCTCGGTCTCTCTCTCTTTCGAATTGGCAATATTTGAGAAAATGGTTTAGCGATTTATAATTATTGGGGGGACTAGCCCCCTCAATGTCTACTGTGGTTATCGCCCTGATAAGACATGAAAATATGTTGTGGCACTATCGTGCAGTCTGTAATGATATGACGTTAGTTAGCAAATTTTAGCGATTTTTTGCAAACATTTCTTTGAGTAACATGACCGTAAATATGAACTCACGATTGAAAGTAACATAAAACAAATGATTACTTTTCGTTAAAATCTTTATTAATGCCCAAAAATGCTTACATTTATGTGTCTTTTTGTTCGCTCGTGCAGCCATGTTGCCGCTGAAGCCGGTTTACGCTGAGATAATTCATACCCCTTCGTTTGAAGTGTGGTCCCGAAAAATCTTCGTTTGAAGGGCTATCTGGCCCTACCCCTACCCCTCCAACCAAAAGAGAATCGAGACACCCCTACCCCTCCGTTTTGCGCGTTCACGTGAAGGAAATGGGAAGGGCTAAGGGGTAGAGTTGGGATTGGGCCTAAGTGTTCTAGGCCTTGTTGTTTGGGCTCAGCTCATTTTTAGAGATAACAATGTAGGCAGGTGTAGGTCATGATATTTTGGTATGTGCTTATTTACAAGATAACACTGGCAACACAGAGTCAAGCTGTACCTCCTTCCCTGTGATTACTTGCACCGCAACTCTGATATGCATTTAAATACATCAAGTTCGGTTCTGTACACATTGCATAGAATTTCTGTAAATGCGGTTGCCACTACCTGACTTTTTCTGCAGTCAAACCTTTTTTAATTGTCACTCCCGTAAATTACTGAACCGTCCGTGTACAGAACAGGATTAAGCACTAAAAGGTGAAGATGAAGATGCATTTAGCTGCAGTGTGTATGTGGCCACAGTTATGAAAGCACAGCGCTCTCACAAGAGGCTCCAGCTCCGAGTGGTCGATGAGGCTGAACTCAGAGATGAAGTAGTAGTAGTGTTTGTAGCAGGTGTTGATGTGGGCCTCAGCTCCCATACTACAGATCATGTCAAAGTGATGGATGTACACGTGTACAAACACTCGAAACAAGCGGCTCAGTATCTTCTTGCACACCTGCTGAAAGTTCTTTGGAAAAGGGACTCCTAAAAATAGAAGAAAACCAGCATCACACTCAAATCACATCACATTCACGATGCTGTATGATTTTCCTCCATGAGAAAATTAAAATGCTATTTTAGGATAAAAAGCACACAGAGTATGTCTCGAGGGTTTTCGGCCAATAGTTCAGTCTGTGGAATTATGAATTGTTGGCAGTGCTTATAAGTATAGCTTCTGTTACTCTATCCAGTAATATTTTTTCAGACAGAAGTATGTGTCTGGTGATCCCTGGCCCCACAAATTATACAGCAATTCCTGAGAAACGTAACTGGATCATTTCTCTAGCCAGTTACCCGTTAATATTTCTGTGTCTGACTGTTTTTGTCTTATTTCCATTATTTGTACATCTCTGCTCATTTATTAATATACTAAGCTTTTCATAGCGATTTACTAAATGAGCTTAAAGGTCCATGACAAATAGGAGTGTCCACAAAAGGAGTAATGCATATGTGTTAAGTTCTTAGAAATGTGCTCTTTGTATTCATGTTGGTTTTCATTATATGATAACCATCACATAAAATGTAATAACATATTTCCCTTATACCGTAAATACTTGTGATTTAAATAATTATTTTCAAAAATGTATATATATATATATATATATATATATATATATAAAATAAGGTATTTTTTTTAAATGTCATTATTAATTCATAAAAATATTATTACATTTTATTTATTGAAAAGGATAAATTATCTGATATTTGTAAGTAAACATATCTGATAACTGTAACTTAAATGAACCTTAAAAACCTAAACTTAAATAAAAGAATAATAATAATAATTTGTTACTTGAAATAAAATAAATGTTTACAGAAATGTAAAAAAAATAAAAAATAAAAAAAGGTCCTATTTCAGGTAGTTGCCCATTTTTTTTAAAACTACTTAAAATGATAAAACTTAAGCTAAAATGAAAAATATAAAAATAAAAACTGATTCTAAATATTAATAAAAACTATAATATAACACTGTTCTTGAGCTTGAGACAGTCAGCAGGTGTCTCCCAATTTCCTGTTTTATTAACTGTTTTTTGCACTACGTGACTTGAAGGTTTTTCAAATATTAATAAGCAGTGAAGCAGTTTTGTTAAAATATTTTTTCTAAGAAATAACAATAAAAGATAAAGATTTTAAAAAGAGTTTAAAGAGTTTCCTCTTTTTAATAAAGCATGTTTCTATATTATGATATTAAAACCGTTATCCCACACTGACATAATTTTTACTTTTAACATAATTTTACAAAATGAAAATAAAAATTTGGAAATGAACAAAAGTAAATGAGCCCTATCACAGTGATTTGATTTGTCTGGAAAACATATCTGACGTCACGCACCTACTCGTGTAGGAAAGATGTCCTCATTGTTGATGAGGGACTCGATCCAGTTCATCAGGAGGTTCATGTATATAAGAGCAGGCAGTTTGGTGGGCCTCTTGTATTGATCCCCATCCTGCCACCTGTATTCATAACGTGGCCCTCCAGACATGATGGGACAGCTCTTCTCAGTGCAGAACTCGCTCACGGTCCCGTAGATGAGGTTTATTCGATTGAAGAAATCCACCACATGCACAGCTATCCAGTCATTAATGTTCTCCCCGTCCGGCAGCTGCACCACTTTCCTCAGGTCCAGACCTGATTTCAGAGACGCTTGGGCTCTTTTGTACAGCTCAAAGCGCTGGGTTCCAGGTTCAAATCGCTTTCGAGGCCGGAATGTTTTGTCTTTGCTGAAAACCTGCCCCAAGCACAGAGCCATTGCTGAACTGAGCAGGGTGACAGAGTCGTCAGATCCAATCAGGATGTGGAAGATTGTGATTTTTCACTCGTATGATTCCCAGGGCCCTCGTCACAGCCAATAGGGAGTTTCTAGAGAGCAGAAAAATATATAAATGTATATTTGAATAAATTAAATATATATATATATATATATATATATACTTATAAAATATACTGATATTACACACACATTATATATATATATAAAATAATACATTTCATGAATGATGTGCTGATTAGACTGGGGTTTATGCAACTGGGAAACTGCAGTGGATAACATTTATGACAATAACCAAGACACATATGTGATAAATAATTAGGATTTATAGCTGTGCTGAGATTCTGACAGTTTATATAAACAGTAAAATTGTGAAATATTATATTTTAAAGAACTGGTTTCTGTTTTCATATATTTTCAAATGTAATTTATTCTTGTGATGCAAAGCTGAATTTTCAAATTTAATATGGGATTAATAGCTGAAATCCTGGTCATATATATGAATGGTAATATTGTGAAATATTATTACTAGTTAAAAGAACTGGTTTCTGTTTTCATATATTTTCAAATGTAATTTATTCTTGTGATGCAAAGCTGAATTTTCAAATTTAATATGGGATTAATAGCTGAAATCCTGGTCATATATATGAATGGTAATATTGTGAAATATTATTACTAGTTAAAAGAACTGGTTTCTGTTTTCATATATTTTCAAATGTAATTTATTCATGTGATGCAAAGCTGAAATTTCAGCTTTCAAGTAAGATTGTTCAAGAAACATTTCTAATTATTATCAGTGATGAAAACAGTTTTAAGGAGTAATGTTTTTAACTATTTTTTAAGGATTCTTTAATAAATAGAACATAATTTACTTGAACTAGAGATCTTATAACATTATGAAAGTTTTTACTTTTTTTACTGTCACTTTTGATCAGCTGAATGCATCCTTACTGAATAAAAAATAAATAAATACTGACCCCAAAATTTATGAATGATATAGTGCAAGTAAACTCCATTAACAGACCACCACAAACAAACATTTCTTCCTCTCTATGCATTCAGTTTCCCTTTGTGTTGTTTTATCCACATCACCATTTTCATAACTTCCTGTGTTTGTTCGAAGTGGCTGAAATGAGATCCATTCTTCTGTGGATTTCAGAGCTATTCAGCCCTACACTCAAACCCTGACTTTAACGTTCTAGCAGTGTATCTGTGTTTGAGTCCATCCTTTCTTTGTCTCTTTGATAAGTACTGTTTTTGTTCGTTTTTCCTGTTTTTTGTTTCTCAAACACGATCAGTTTTACCAGGGATGAGCTGCTGAACATTCGGCAGAACACAGCACACAATCTTCTACCGGATTTCGTTTATTCTGACGTTTTGCTGAATGTTGTAGTCGGTGGAGCTGTGGCGCTGATCAAGCACTTCAGGACGCGCAGACGGGGGAAGCGAGCCGGCGTGCTCGTGAAGCTCAGGAAGTGCGGATTCAGAACGCCGTTGCCGAGCATCCATCTGGCCAACCTCCGCTCTCTACCCAACAAAACAACGGACGAACTTCTTCTGCTCTCCCAGACAAATAAGGATTTTTCACACTCTGCTGCTCTGTGTTTCACGGAAACCTGGCTGAATGACGCCATTCCGGACAGCGCGCTACAACTGCCGGGCTTTCAGCTGTTTAGAGCAGACCGCGATGCAGAATCAACGGGGAAATCACGCGGCGGCGGGACATGCTTTTACATCAACGAAAGGTGGTGTACAGATGTTACAGCGTTAAAGAAGATGTGCTGTTCCGATCTAGAAGCGCTTTTCATTAACTGTAAGCCGTTCTATTCGCCGCGGGAGTTTCACTCGTTCATTCTCGTGAGTATTTACATCCCTCCGCAAGCACACGTGAGCTCAGCTTTACAGAAACTCGCTGATCTGATCACAGAGACAGAGCAACAACACCCGGACTCTGTTTTAATCATTCTCGGGGACTTTAATAAAGCAAATCTTTCCCGTGAACTGCCAAAATACAGACAGCATATTACATGTCCCACCAGAGACAGTAGTATACTGGACCATTGTTACTCCACAATAAAGGATGCATATCGCTCGGTCCCCAGAGCAGCTGTAGGACTCTCTGACCACTGCCTGGTTCATCTTATACCGACCTACAGGCATAAACTTAAATCTGCTAAACCTGTAGTAAAGTCTGTAAAGAGGTGGACCAACGAAACAGAGCAGGCATTGCAAGCCTGTTTCGACTGCACTGATTGGAGTGTTTTTGAAGCAGCCACCAACGATCTGGACGAGCTCACAGAATCTGTAACATCATATATCAGTTTCTGTGAAGACATGTGCATCCCTACCAGGACTCATTTAACATTCAACAATGATAAGCCATGGTTTACAGCAAAACTTCGTCATCTTCGTCAGGCCAAAGAGGACGCCTACAAAAGGGGGGACAGAGTCTTGTACAATCAGGCCAGAAACACACTGAATAAGGAGATTAGAGTGGCCAAGAGGAACTACGCTAAAAAACTAGAACACCAGTTTTCTGCGAATGAGCCTGCATCAGTGTGGAAAGGCCTGAAGGACATCACCAACTACAAGACACCATCCCCCAGCACTGAGGCCAATCAACAACTTGCTGAAGACCTGAATGGGTTTTACTGTAGATTTGAAACTCCCAGTCTAACACCCCACACCCGCTCTGAACATCTCTCCACACAACCATCAACACCTCCTGCAACCCCCCTCTCCCCCACTCCTACGTTTCAGATCAGTGAGGATGATGTGCGCCAGGTCTTCAGGAAGAACAAGAGAAGAAAAGCACCAGGCCCAGACGGTGTGACACCAGCCTGTCTGAAAACCTGCGCTGACCAACTGTCCCCCATCTTCTCACAGATCTTCAACAGATCACTGGAGCTGTGCAAAGTCCCTGCCTGCTTCAAACGCTCCACCATCATCCCCATCCCAAAGAAACCTAAGATAACAGGACTTAATGACTACAGACCTGTGGCCCTAACGTCTGTGGTCATGAAGACATTTGAGAGGTTGGTGTTGGCTTATCTGAAGGACATTACTGGACCCTTACTAGACCCCCTGCAGTTTGCTTACCGAGCAAACAGGTCCGTGGATGATGCAGTCAATATGGGACTGCACTTCATCCTGCAACATCTGGACAAAACAGGGACTTATGTGAGGATCCTGTTTGTGGACTTTAGCTCTGCTTTCAACACCATCATCCCAACACTCCTCCAGACCAAACTAACCCAGCTCTCTGTCCCTAGCTCTATCTGTCAATGGATCACCAGCTTTCTGACAGATAGGCAACAGCTAGTGAGAATTGGTAAATTCACATCCAACAACCGCACCACCAGCACTGGCACCCCTCAGGGTTGCGTCCTCTCCCCACTGCTCTTCTCCCTCTACACCAATGACTGCACCTCTAAAGACCCCTCTGTCAAGCTCCTGAAGTATGCAGATGACACTACAGTCATCGGTCTCATCAAGGATGGAGACGAGTCTGCTTACAGACAGGAGGTTAAAGAGCTGGCTGTCTGGTGCAGTCTTAACAACTTGGAGCTGAACACCCTCAAAACAGTGGAGATGATCGTGGACTTCAGGAGGAACCCCCCTGCACTCCCCCCACTCACCATCATGGATAGCACTGTAACGACAGTGGAGTCATTCAGGTTCCTGGGCACCACCATCTCTCAGGACCTGAAGTGGGACACTCACATTGACTCCATTGTTAAAAAGGCCCAGCAGAGGTTGTACTTCCTTCGCCAGCTGAGGAAATTCAACCTGCCACAGGAGCTGCTGAAACAGTTCTACTCAGCCGTCATCGAGTCTGTTCTGTGCACTTCAATAACTGTCTGGTTTGGTTCAGCTACAAAATCAGACATCAGAAGACTACAGAGAATGGTTCGGACTGCTGAAAGGATTATTGGTGCCCCCCTGCCTACCCTCCAAGAACTTACATCCAGAGTGAGGAAAAGGGCTCAGAAAATCACTCTGGATCCATCACATCCAAGCCATCTCCTTTTTGAACTTTTGCCATCTGGTCGGCGTTACAGAGCACCGAATACCAGGACAGCCAGGCACAAGAACAGTTTCTTTCCCCAGGCAATCTACCTCATGAACAGTTAATGTTCTCCCATTGTGCAATTAAAGTACAGTATGTGCAATAACCTTATAATTATTTATCACCCTAAACCCTAGTACATCCCTACAACTTATTTTATTTTATTCTATTCCTATTCCATCTATACCACACCTGTACATACAATTTATTCTTTTTTTGTGGTTTATATTTATGCATGTGTATTTTATTCACATCTCATTTTTATTATCTGTGTGTTGTTGTTGTCTCCGTGTACTGGAAGCTTGTGACACTATAACAAATTCCTTGTATGTGCAAACATACTTGGCAATAAAGTTATTTCTGATTCTGATTCTGATTCTGTCGTTTTTCTCTCCCTCTCTGTTTCTCTCTCCTCCCACAAATGTATTCACAAAAAAACCTGGCTACTATCAAACCATGAATTTCTCTCACCTCATAGCTCATGTTGACACATTTTGCAGAAGCTCTGTTTCTGACACTTGTTGCTGTAACTGATAATGGATAGTATTTCACGCCATTATTCATGCCTGCATTTCCATAATTGTTTTTTTTATAAGGCAAACGACAAGATTTCAAATCTTTTATATATTTTTCAATTGCACTGTTTCTAATCAAACTGGTAAATATCCAGCCACTCTTTTAGCTAGACTTTACACAAACAGAAACAGTCTCATTTTAGATGTTAGCCTTAACTCAATTCATTCAACATGTGGAAACAAAGAACAGAGGAGTTATTTGTCCACAACAAACACTGACGTGTCTGCTCAGGCTTTTTCACACAAGCTCTGACATTAACACAGAGCATGAAAACAAAAGTTGCATCTTATCAATGAAAACATACGAAAGAAAAGTAAAAATGTAGACCTGGCTTTAGTCCTGCCGTAGACACTTGGAATGTTGTGGGAAACCTG